GAAACCAGCAGTATCAGAAAAAGAAGGGGAAAAGTTCAAGGCTCGACTGGTTGCAAAGGGATTTTCGCAGCAGAAGGGGATAGATTATGATGAAATCTTTTCTCCTGTGGTCAGACATACTTCAATCAGGGCAGTGCTTGCATTAGTAGCAATTTGGGATTTGCATTTGGAGCAGATGGATGTTAAAACTGCTTTCTTGCATGGTGATTTGGAGGAGCAGATTTACATGAAGCAGCCAGAAGGGTTCACTCAACCTGGACAGGAGCATCTGGTTTGCAGGTTAAAGAAATCGTTGTATGGGTTGAAACAGTCTCCAAGACAATGGTACAAGCGATTTGACTCCTACATGATGCAGATTGGCTACAGGCGATGTGAGTATGATTGTTGTGTTTATGTGAAAAGCCTTGATGATGGTTCTATTATTTTTCTGTTACTGTATGTTGATGATATACTGATTGCTGCAAAGAATATGAATGATGTTCGTGGTTTGAAAGCTTTATTGAGCCAGGAATTTGACATGAAAGACTTGGGTCCTACGAAGAAGATTCTTGGAATGGAGATTCATCGGGACAAAGACTCAAGACGATTATGCTATCTCAACGAGGCTATGTTGAGAAAGTGTTGGAAAGGTTTGAGATGAGCAATGCAAAGCCTGTAAGCACTCCTTTGGCAAATCATTTTAAGCTTTCTTCAGAAGAGTGTCCTAAGACTGATATAGAAATTGAAGACATGGCAAAGGTTCCATATGCCAGTGCAGTTGCCTGCTTGATGTATGTTATGGTATGTACTCGTCCTGATTTGTCTCATGTTGTTAGTCAAGTCTGCAAATACATGGCTAAACCTGGAAGGCAACATTGGGAAGCATTCAAGTGGATTTTCAGGTATCTGAAGGGTACTATAGGAAATGTAATTATTTTTTGCAATCAGTGGAATGATTCTTCAGTTGTGGGGTACGTTGATTCAGACTATGCAGGTGATTTGGATGACAGAAGGTCTACAACTGGGTATGTGTTTACTCTTGGTGGAGGGCCTATATGTTGGAAATCAACAATTCAGTCTATTGTGGCATTATCTACAACTGAAGCAGAGTATAGGGCAGTAGCTGAAGCTGCTAAAGAAGCCTTATGGCTTGCTGGGCTAGTAAAGGAACTGGGCATTGAGCAAGGTGGAGTTCAGTTGCATTGTGACAGTCAGAGTGCTATTTATCTGGCTAAGAACCAGGGGTACCATGCGAGAACCAAGCACATTGATGTCAGGTATCACAAGATCAGAGAGTTGATTGCTTCTGGGGAGATACTGTTGCAGAAGGTTCATACTGATGAGAATGCAGCT